GGGGGGCGGCGTAATGGCAAACCAAAAATGAAGCCTGGACTCATGACGCATAAAAAACAGTATTTTATGTACACACATACGTTTTCGTGCGTGTGCTCGTGGGTTCGCTTATGCAAGTGCGTGGGCAGCACTCTGCATGGGTACCTAAATGCACGCTTATCGCTACCTCAGAAAATACAAAGTTCTATCTGACATTTTTGGCTGTTTTGAATTACTACGACCAAGGTGTCAGACAGCAACAAATGTGAGGCGTGCTGACAAAATGAGTTACTTCTCACAATCCACAAATGGAGATATTGACCAAAAATCGACACTTGGGGTCAAATTTCTAGGTTTGTTATTGATGCAGTATTCATAAAGTAGTAAATGCCTTTTGCTATTTCATACTTACAAATGATAAAAACTGCACCTCTAAGCATGATGTATCTATTTCCATAAAGCCCTAAAGCGCGCTCATATGACCTATGCAGTTGCGAGCGCCGTAAAACACTTTACAAAAACAAAAACAATAGAGCCCTAATCCCAGAAGTAACTTATTTCGTCAGCACACTCCACAAATGGTCTGTCTGCTCCATCAAAATCGTAAGATTATTCGAGGTCGGTCGTTACCAAGACATTTAAAGAATTGCATTCGAAAAAAGGTTGACATGTGGAACTCAATAATATATATGTGAAGCGTGCTTACAAAATGAGTTACTTCTCGCAATGCACAAACGGAGATATAGGCCAAAAATCAACAATAAGGTCACATTTGTAGATTTTTTAAAAATTGATGTTCTTTAACTAAAACATGTCTTTTATTATTTCATACTTGTAAATCGTTAAAACTTCACCTAAAAGCGAGATGTATCGATTCCCCTATCTTAAAACGTGAATCCGAGAAGTAACTCGTTTTGCCTGCACGCTTCACATATATTTTACATGAAATGTCTCAGAGCTAGGAAGTGAGCAGATAGATTGGTAATGCTATGGTGGCGTTATACTAACAGATGACGTATAAATGTATACTTGCCTGGTACCACAATGTCATTAATGAGTGGAATGTAAATGTTTAAGTGAAAAACTGAACGTGTGTTTATCTGTGCCCAACTATGTGAATAAGAAGAGTACGAGATGCAAGATAAATAAAAGCATATTATGCTGAACGATAGTTTTAGAAAAAATTATGTTATTGCTTTCTCATCTTACTTGTCTCATTTCTGTGCAATGTTCTTGTTGCCGCTATTGTTGTTGCTGTTGTTGTTGCTGTTGTTGTTGTTGTTGTTGTTGTTGTTGTTGTTGTTGTTGTTGGTGGTGGTGGTGGTGGTGGTGGTGGTGTTGTTGTTGTTGGTGGTGGTGTTGTTGTTGTCGGTGGTGGTGTTGTTGTTGTTGTTGTTGTTGTTGTTGTTGGTG